GTGCCGCCGTGCGTCCGCGACCACCGCCCCGCCCAGCACAGCCACACCCGCTGCCGTGCCTGAGCCCACCCCCGCCGGGTACCCACGCACCCGTGCACCCCGAGACCCCGCCTCGCCAGGACTTCCCTGTGCGCCCCGGGAGCTTGGTGTACCCCGAGAGCTCCATGCCCAGAACACCCCCATGCACTCGAGAGCTCTCTCACCGCCGCGCACCCCTTGCACCCGGAGACCCCACCCAGCCAGGACACCCTTCGAGTCCTGACAGTCCTCCCTGCCAGGCCAACCACGTGAGCCACACGGCCTTGAGCCTTGCCCAGGACGCCCGTGCACTCCCCTGCACCCCCAGAGGTCCCCCTGTACCCCCAAAGTATACATCAGTGTACTCCGAAGGTGGTCCCTACTGGTACACCTCTTCCCACGCACTCGGAGACCCTCAGCATCAGGACACCCCCACACACACCCCTGTGTACCTCAAGACCCCTCCCTGCCAGGATACCCTGCTGGCCAGAGAGTCCTCCCTGCCTTGACAATCACGTGAGCCCTGAGACTCCCGCGTACCCTGAGAGCCTCTCCCTGCCCAGAACACCCCCGCGCCCCCAAGTATCCTCCGCACCCAGACACCCTAGTGTACCCTGAGAACCCGCCCTCCAAGCTGGAGACTCTGCGCTAGAGACACCCCCACCAAGAATGCCGAGGGCCGCGTGCGCAGAGGAAGTTCTGCGTGCCCCTCGACCCTCCCTGCCTCGGAGCCTCTCTGCTGTTGCAACCACACACACCTCTCAGCCTGAGGTCTCCTCCTGGTGGGCCAAGATGCTTCCCTTCCACCCCGAGGGCCACCCATAAGCTCCAAGCCCCCCACCCAGTGCCACTCGGGCCCCCTGCCCAGATGTGCCTACATACAACACCCACCCTGGATCGCTCCTGCTGAGATCTCTGTCCTCCCTGAAGCCCAGACCCCACAGCCCCACCTATGACCCCTGAGAGGCCTCTCTACCTTGAGGAAGACCCCTCCCTTTAGACTCCTCCTGGGCCCTAAGAGACCCCACCCCAGGTTGCCTAGGGACCATTTCCTGTTCACCACCACTCTGAAGGTGCCGCTGGAAGTTACCCTCACCCTTCCCCAGCCTTCTGCTGTTTTCCCAGCATCACCACCCTGGGGAGAGCCGCTTTTTAGGGGGATGTTTGACAACCTCTGTTGCACAGTAAAAACGCAGCAATTCAGTCCAGCGCCCTGGCTCTCCTTGGTTACTTTGTCTGAGTCTTCCCTTCCAAACAACCAACTTCCTTCCATCCTCTTTTTTTTTTTTTTTTTTTTGAGATGGCAGAAAGAATTTTCTAGACCTTTGCAAGACTTATTCCCTGCCCCTAATCCCCCTGGAACAGTGTTCAGTCACCGACTGCTGTGCCCTTTCCAAAGGATTCCCATCATGGGAATCACCAGAATGAGATGAGGCTAGGAGGTGTGTGTGTGTGTGTGTGTGTGTGTGTGTGTGTGTGTTCCATTTGTATTATGTATGTTTCAGAGCTGTGAAATGCAAAGGGAGGGGAGAAAAACCCATTTGGAGCAAATGTTGGGGTTGGTGATTCTATCACCAGAGCCCCTGGCCTAAGAGGGAATGAGGCTGCTGGGACTCACCTGGGACTCACCTGGGACTCACCTGGGACTCACCTGGGACTCACCTGGGACTCACTTGGGCCTGGGACTGCTCACATCCGCCTGGCAGGCAGCCTTGGGTCAGTTGTTTCTCAGGTCTAATAAGGCAGTGCCAGTGAAGCCACGTGCCTGGGCAGGTCACAGTGGGTGGGTGCGGGCAGCTGGCATTGTCAGCCTTCTCCACACCCTGTAGGATGAGACATGGCAAAGGCGAGTGGAAGCTGGGCCCGCTGAGTTTGACTGGGCCTTCGTGGGCATTCCAAGTCCCTTTATGAAAATTAGCATCTGAGCATAGACTAGAGCAGCCTTCAGTAGACACCTTCGTTCCCCAGACCGAAGCACCTGTGATAATGTTACCTCCAGGGTGGACTGTGTCCCAGCTGTACCCCCGCCACCGCCCGAGGCAGCTCCCATTTCTCCTCGGCTCATCAGGCAGTGAGTCAAACTGAACCACAGCCAAAAACCCATCCCCAGTGGTTATTTTTACCTCAAACTAGGACTAACTTGTTATTTTAAAGTCTCTTGAACTCAAGCGACAACCAGAGAGAAAGGCTGTTGCCTTTGCTCCGCCAACTGGTCCTTACTGGTGTGAAATATGCACTGGAAACTTGCAGCTCGGCGCTAAAAGGAATCCGCGAACAGAGCCTCGGAATATCCGGGCTTCAGGAGACGCGTTTGCCTGTCTTCTACCAGAAAGGAGGCGGCAGTTATAAGGAACACATGGCAGAAAGGCATCAAATGCCACCCGGACTATGGTTAATGCAGGACCATCAAGGGCTTGGGTTGCTTTTCCAAAGGGGCTGGTGCTGCTCATCCCTTCTTTCTGTTCTGTTTCCCTCTTCACTACTCTCGACCCCGGGCACAGCTGAGGAGACACCCTAGCAGACCCATTCCACTGCTGTTACGGGAATGGGATTATCCTGTGGGGCCCCAGGGATAAGAAGCAAAGAGGAAACAACAGCACAATAGCACACATTGTAGCTCACTGCAAGGACAAAGGACTGCATGCAGAAGGTGAGATGGAAGCCGTGATGAATGTTCAAATAAGAAAAATTGTTACAGTAGTAGGTACATTGGTATTAATCACCCTCTAAGTGCTCCCCCTTGCTGCGAAGAACTCATCTCACCGTTCTTGCCCCTTCTCCTGAAGCCCTCTCTCTCATCTTTAGCTGTAATGCCCTGGCTGCCTCTGGGTTCTGAATTGTTTACCTTTCACAGTCATTTTGACTTTGGGCAAAGACCAGAGTTGCACAATTCCAGATCCAGTGAGTAAGGTGGTCGAGCACACATCATCGTATTTTTATGTGACAGAAGCGATGTGTATAGAAAATGGCCCAAGGAAAGAGTAAAAGGTTTCATCCTCCATTGTGACAATACTCTGTGTCCTCAAAAAAACAGTAGTGTGTCCTCAACCATCTTATTTATCAGATGTGGTACCTGTGACTTCCATCTTTTCTCCAAAGTCAAAACGAGCCATGAAAGGTAAACATTTTGAATCATTTCAAGACACCAAGGGAGCCAGGACAGTGCAACTGAAGACACTCATGAAAGAGGACTTCCAGAACTGCTTCAGAAAGTAGCAAGAACCATGGGATGGGTGTGTTTGGAGACAGGCACAGTATTCAGAGGGAGATTAGTGGCAATGCATCCCTTATTCTAATTTTTAAAAATACAAGCAGTCACGGTATATTGTGATTACACCTCATAGCACTGTGGTCAGAACCCCTGTCTGAACCCTGCCTCTGCTACACCTCCATGCTGTACGATCTAAACAAGTCACTTAACTTCTTGAAGCCTGGGTCTTCTTTCCTGTAAGATCAGATCATATACTGGATTGTTCTGAAGGTTCCCACAAGGGTTATTCATGAGCAGTACATAGTGTAACACTAATAAGGATCTAGTTGATCACAGAGGCTAAAGTCAGAAAAATACCTCCCTACCAAGAGACGGGGCTACCGTGTGAGGCAGCAAATGCTACACAGCTAGGAGTCAAGTGAAGGAAGGGTCACTGTCTCTGAGGTTTCTAAGAAGAATTTCTGCCTCCCCTGGGAGGCTGGATGAGAGAAGCTCTGCCATCACAGCTCTTGGCAGGAGGGGCCTTAGAGAAGGGAAGATTGTGAACCAGAAAGCAGACAGCTGGCTCCTGGCACAGAACCTCATGTGTGCCACCAAGCCCACCCACTGGACCCGACTTGGCCCCTGGAGTCTATTTTTGTTCTTCTCATCTTACAGATCTATTTTGTTAATCTCCTTATATCTGCTGTTTTGACTTCCCAGCCAGCTTGCTAATCAGTTTGCCCATTTGACTCATAGGGTTTGCATTTGTCACTGGGACCTAAACACACACTTGTTTTGATTTCTTTTTGTAAAATTAGAAGCGTTTGATGTAATGACTCTACCTAGACACAGCTGGTAAAGTGAGAATAATGCTCAAGTTTGCATAGTTTAAACACAATGTAGACAATAATTAGAAATGCTATCTTTAGATGTTTAGGATAAGCTTTTTCTCAGAATTGCAGTGAATTTTTTTTTCCCAAGCAGGGCTTTTTAGTGCATATACACAGAAATACTAAAAACGTAAGAAAATAGAGCAAATCAGTAAGTGCTTTGGTCAACTTGAAAGACTGCAGGAAATAAACCAACTGATTTTAGATCTATCTTTTTTGACTGAATGCATAAAATCTTTACATTCACCATATTTTTTCATGGCTGCCATATGATCAAGTAATTTTAGGTGACAGATTGCAACTGATAAGTCCGCTACAATATGCTGTAAGCAGTGCTCAGTGCTGAGAGAGAATGACACAAATAATACAGATAATTAATCACCTACATCAGGAAAATCATCACATTTTTATTTCAAGCAAGAATAAGATATAGTTATGATACACGGTGATCATAGACTCTAATACAGTAAGGCTTGCAAAGGAAGAGAAGTCACTTCTTTCTTTACATAAAACTACAAAATAGTAGCTGGTTTTAAGAAAAAGTCCATTGTTTTACACTTAATAGGCTCTCACTGGCCTTGGCTAAGATCCCCATATGTGTTCTTGAGCTCACACAAATTCTCCAAAGTCCAACTTCCCGGTGCTACGTGGACTCCCTCTATGTATCCAGAAGAAAAAGTCTTGTTTACCAAGAGCTGATAAGGAACAGAAGGCAACACATCTATGTCTATCATTTTAAATTGCCTTCGTGCTGGATCAACTCATTTGGCTTTGTTTTTGTACACAACCATAGTATCGAGAGACCAGTCCTGGTTTACGTCTGCTTCTCTTTCTAATGAGAATCAGTACCGAGTTCCTGGTTGCATCTCTCTCTCTGCAGTTTTCTCCATTCAGAAAGCCATCTGAGGGAAAGGAACGTATTAAAGCTGTGAGCTGGGGGTAGAGCTTTGAGTTTTTGTCATCCTAACTGGAACTCTCTGAACGTACCTTTGGTTTTCATCAAGAATGAGGATTGTGTCAAGTGGAGGCTTCTGGAATGAAAGCAGAGGGAGAAAGCCCTCTAATCAAGATCTTTTCCAGAGAGAGGCAAGGCACCAGGCACCCATAGGGCAGCGGGAAGGCAGTGAAGTCAGGACAGCACCCTCTTTTTAGAGGCACAGAAAACCCAATAGGCAAAGCTGTCCAGTCACTTGAGAGAGACAGGGAAGAAAAAAATGAGCCAGTCTTCGGAATTCCTTAGAGATCAAACTTCCCATGCCCTGGTCGACCGGTGTACATGTTTCTAGTGGGAGAAACACATCAGAAGACTCTCCGACGTCTGAACCGGTGATAGCATAGCCCACTTCTAGAACTTCGTGTAGAGACAGCGATGTGTGTTTGGGAGCAAAGCAACAATAGGAGATCTAGACCAATCAGTTTATTAAGGCTGCCAATAGACTGGAGGATTCGGGGTGGGCTGAGCAGAATATCACCAGGTTGGGGCCTCCCAGCCCGTGAAGCTTGGATGGCTGGAGAGACAACGTGTGGGGGTGGTGCAGGGTAGGGGCAGGAGAGTCAGGGGAAGGGAAGAGCCAGGGATGTGTGTTTTGCAAACACCAATCCTTTCTGCAGGCCTTAATTAGAAGAAAGACAAGTGCCCGTATGTAAAACTCCACACCCCGCAGCTCACAGGTACAGAGCAATCACAGGGGTGCAGAACGTGCAAACAGGACTTGTCAGCCCTGTGTTATTTACCCCAACTCTGAAGTCTGAGGAGCCTCAGGAGGACAGGCAGGCCTGCAGAGGTGGGGGCAAGCCCCTGCAACACAAGGCAACCACAGAGAAGCGGGCTAAGGGGGGATGCGATTTTCTCAACAATCCTAATATTCTAGCTTTTAGAGCAGGGACAAAGGAGAAGCCATGGGGCTCAGAGGCAATGCTTTTGGTGCCCACTTAAATCCGCACCTCTAACACATGATTTTGTTCTGGCAGTTCCCCTTTTAGTGTCTACATGTCCAGGACAAGGCCCCTCCCCAATTCAGAGGGTAACTCGTGATGCACCTAAACCCATCATCACACCATCTTCTCGCTGGGGATTAGCTTAGACACAGTCATATGATGATTCTGAGCAATGAAATGTAGCAGGAACATGTGGGGAGAAACTTCCTTCTGCCTTCAGACAAACAGGAGAACAAGTGATGCCTGGAGCCACTGCAACCATCTTGTTATCAGGAGGAAGTAGCTGACCTGGAGGCTAGCAGAGATGAAAGGTGGAAACTCAGATCATCCGTGACTTTCTTGAAGGAAACAGCCTTGGGATGCCCTACTTCTGAAGCTCTTGTGAGCAGTAGCATTTATGTCCCTGTTGTTAAGCGTCTGCAGGTGTGACTTGCTGCTGAAAGCGCCGTGACTAGTATAGCGCTCTCTGGTGGGGGCAGGGGAAGAATGCTGCACACTTTTGCAACAGTTAAAAAGACAAAAGACAACCATGAGTCGTTGCCAAATCTCTCTTTAATGTCTATGGAACAGAAAACCACATGGGTGGAGTTAGCAGATGCATGACAGTGTCACACGTGTGAATAGGGCATTGATATGCCAGGATCAAGCCTGTCTCCCATTCCATCTAAGAACACAAGAGCCTTCCACACTGATGACTCTCCCACTGTCAAAGTTTCAGCTCCTCTGACCCCAGCTTCCCAAAGCCCTGCCTCTCTGGGACTCAGTTTCCCTGGCCCTAACGGACTGTGCTGGGCTTTATTATAAGCCCCACTCTCCAGAAAGCGATCAACAGGCCCTGCAGAGGTACCTCCGGCCGACTGCATGGCAAACAAGAGCTCCTGTGGGGTGAGACTTTTCTCTGTGTTATCGCTGTGTTAGGCCTGGCTGTTCCCTTTGGTTGCTCTGTGCAGTAGGGGTGTGCATCGGCAGCCCGCGCAGGCCCCGGCCCCCTGCAGCAGGATGGCTCCTTCTGTGAGCGCTGGACTGGGTGAGCGCTGTAGCTGCAGAAGGCCTGCCAGGAGGGGATGTTATGGGGGCGTGCCCAGGGGCAGAGGGACCTAGTGGAATGGAGAAGGATGAATGGAGCACTGGGAGAAGATATGTGTCCTTACACCCCAAAGTGTCAGGGCACTGGCTCCAGCATGCTCCTATTCTGCCAGGCGGGGAGCCTCAGGGAGCTGGGAAAGAATCAGAAGCCCTGAACGTCAGGCCCCCACTGTGCACTTGCCCCCCTCCGAAGCGAGGCACTGTGATGTCTGTCAGAAGAGTGTCGCCAGGAGATGCAACCTGGCAGGGAAGTGTCGGTGTGGGCCAGCCTCCCATAAGCAGGTGTCACGTCTAGGTGAGCCTGTGTACAATCAGGTTTTTAGGATAAATTTCTAACCTCCACTGTCCTGGGTGCCTTCCCTTTTTCTGCAGGAAGGTGTCTGCAATGTGATGCTGGTTCTCTGAGGTGTTCTGAGTGGTGGAATCTGGTATCAGGCTCTCTGGGAGAAATAAATGGAGTCTAGCTCATAGGAGGTCCACGGCTCGATGGCACTGATTTCCTGCAGCCCCGGATGTTGTGCGAAACTGCTAAGTCCGATCCCTAGAAGACCCAGGCAGTGACTGCCATTTCCTCCTTTCTCACCCTTGGACCTGGCCCTGAGTCCCACAGGGTGCTCCTCCAACCAAGCGGGATGAGGTCATTTTGTTTTTCTCTCTCTTTCCCCTCCAGGGCCATGAGCTCTGTGTCTTGTCTTTCAAATCCCAGTACCTGGTGGCACTGAGAACACATTCTATTGAAGGAGAAAAGCATTCTAGGTTCACGGGGCACAGGGCAGGAGACTGACACCACACAGCCGGCTCTTTCCCAAGCCCAGAATGGCCTCAAAATCCTACAGATAGATAGCACAGGCTGAATAAAGCAAACAAGCACTTCTACTTCTAGTTCTCATTTCTTTTTAAAAGCAAAGAATCGGATCACCCCTGGGAGTCCCAGACCCTCTTCCTCCACCACTTCTGATCAATTAATCCCCCAGATTTATAGGCTAGAAAACTCAGCTCTAGCAGGATGCAAACAGGCCTCTATAGGCGCGATGGATTTCCGACCAGAAGCCCAACCTTCTCAGGCGCATCTCCCTTTCCGCCCGCCAGTCAGCCCTCAACAGACAGTGCTGGTGGCAGGATGCCAAGAACACCCATGCGAGGAGCTCCGCTGGGCCCTGCAGACGCATGATGCTTGATGCTCCATTACGCTGTTCTCTCCAGCAGCCTCCCCGTACCAGGCCTGACTCAAAACCCTCTCCATTTCCGGCTCTTCCCATAATTTTGATCGACGACGTTAAATGCTAATAGAAAAACACCTTATCTCTAATAAAACAAATGCTGACAGAGAGACGGAGGCCGAAGACCAGCCATATGGCAGCCGGGCCCTGTTCACAGCCGCGCATCCTCGGCAGAAAGAGATGACACTTGCGAAGCTTGAGGGCCCACGTTTAATAAATCACACCCCACAGGCATCGTCGGGACGTTCACAGTTTGCGACAGGATCCGAGCCATTCCTCATTTGCAGAGGCTGAGGTGTTTTAGGAAGAAGCGACCTGTGCGGGTATTCTGATGCCTCATTCTTTTCTTGCCATCCCTGGTGCCTGCAAAGTGTCACCGTATTGGGCTCCGTTCCCTTTCATGTTTGCACGACACTGCTTATGTCCCCATCCTCTGAGATCCCTTTACCGTCTTCCAGGACAGCCGCTTCAGCTGCAGGCTGCGCAGGTCCCAAGCTGTCCAGGAGGGATTTGGGGAGCTCCCCCTTGGAGGCCAGGCCCAAGGGAGGCGAGCTCTTCAGTCCCTCCGGAGGACTCTCTCTCCTGACCCCTTCCAGTTCTGCAGCTGCCTGTTCCTTTGTCAGTTTAATTATTCCCCTTCCAAGTCTGTTTACTTCTCCCTCCTCAGAAGGTAGCCGGGGTAATGAAGGATGAAAGTGCTTGCGTTGGCTCCCGTGGCTCGGGTTTGCTGGGGAGCTGACAGCGGGCCTCCCAGCATCCTCGGGCGCTGTCAACGCCTCGGCGGCAACACAGCTTTCATCTCCTTCCTGCTGCTGAGCCTCCCCTGAAAACAGAGCGAAGACAGCGTCAAAGCTCTGGCAGCACTCAGCACTTGCCCTGCCTCTCCTCCAGCCTCTCCTCAGAGAGAGAAGGCTTCCATAGCTCTAGGGCAGCGCGCTCCTCCATGCTGGGCGCTGGAGCCCAGGGGAGACACAGGACCCACATGTAAAAGGCAGGTAAGTGCTCTTGTGATGGCTATGGTCCTGCTGTAGCAAACAGAGCACTTGGCTGGGTTCATAACCATCCTCTTAGGTGCCTGGGTGGCTCCGGCTGCCTCTTTAACAGGGGCTCTATGTGCCTATTAAATATTCAATTCAAGGACAAAAGTTTTGTCTTGGCAGCTCCGGGAGGACCCGAGGCTCTCTAGTGACGAGCAGTTTCCGGCTGCCTTCAAGGTGGGAAGCGGGACGGTCGGGGAGGAATTTAGTGCCACCCCCATTCTCCATCAGCACCTCTTTCTTTGATGCAGGGCCCTGATGTTTCCTGACTTTCAAATAAAAGCTGATGTGTGAAAGCAGCTTCAAACTTCCTCCCTCGACACCAGAGCCCTCATCCATACACTAGAAATTCTAGAGCTACAACTGGGAGGGACTGGAGACAAGGGGAGCCCTGGGTGTTGGCAAGGTCCCCCCATCTTCCTGCTCACTTGCTTTGTGGTCAGAACAACCCATGTGGCCTCTGTTCTCAGGTACAAAGCGAGGGGCAGGACTCACTAGTGTCCCTCGCAGATCTGATGAGCAACAGGGGCTCAGCCAGCTTGGGGAGCAGGTGGGCAGAGGCAGCTCTGACTACTCAGCTGTATGCATTCAACGCCTGGCTCTGTGCTTCCCGGGAGCCAAACAGTGATGAGGCAACCAGCATGGAAGAGCCACGGGTAGGCCAGTTCTAGCCGGTGCACAGGTCCTAGTCCAGGGAGCAAGGCCCTGGGCATACGTCCTGGCACTCCTGGATGGATCTGCAAGAGAACCCCGCTGCAATCAGGCTCGCTATCAGATGCAGGCAGGTGCATGTGCTGGCTGCAGCCTGGGCGGTGGAGAGCTGCAGAACTGCAGGAGGCTCAGGAAGGAAGTCGAGCATGTTTGGACAAGGCCTGTTCTGCTTACAACCTTTTGTCAGAGCCTTGCTGACTCGGGATCAAGAGTGATTCCTTTCCCTTGGGTCCTCTGCAAGGCCCCCCTTATTTGCCTCTGTTTTCCTCTGCAGCCTTTTTTCTCAGTTGGGCCACATACACGTGTCCTCCCCACCAGGCGACACATCCTTCAAGTCTGCATGTACCACTCCCAGCTGACACTTCTTGGGTGCTCTTCTGTGCTAGGCAATGTACCAAGTTCTTGTTCTAGAGCTTAAACCCATGAGAAAAGCAATCATACTGGACTGTCCATAAGTCTAACACATTCTAAGCATAGAGAAAAGCTTAAAAATATGCCTAACTTTTTTTTAATGTTAGTATAACATCTGTAGGGCAATGTGGACAAATCTTAATATGGAGCTCTGTGCTAGTCAGCTTTCCATCCCCATAAGAGACACTGTGATGATTAACTTATAAAGAGAGAGGGTTCTTTTGGCTCAAGCTTTAGATGTCCCAGCTCATGTTCAGTCAACTGACTCTATCAGTGTGGGCCAGGCAGCACTTCACGGTAGGAGTGTGAGAGGCAGCTGATCTCCTGACCAGGATGCAAAAGACACAGTAAAGAAGGACCTGTGTGTCACTATTCCTTTCAAGGCTCCACTTCCAACGACCTGAAGACCTCCCTCTAGGCCCCACCTTTTAAAGATCTCACCGCCTTCCAGTGGCACTTCCCTGAGGATCAAGTCACCAACATAGAAGCCTTTGAAGGATATTTAAGACCCACAGTGTAGGGCTAGGGGTATAGCTCAGTGGCCTGAGTGCCTTCCTGGCAAGCAAAAGGTCCCACAGTGTAGTAAGAACAATGAATTTTCACAAAGTGAGCACACTCATGTAACCAGCAACCAGGATGAAAAAAATGACCAATTCCCTATAAACATCTCCAAGTCTGGTGTGCCAGACCCTCATTCTAGTTATTCCTCTTCTGTCAAGGGTAACCGCTGTACTGTTTTGAATGCCAAAAGGAGTTCCACCTGCTCTTTAATTTTATTACAGGAATCTTACTGGGCGTGCTTATTTGTGCCTGGCTCCTTTGTTGTCTACATGAGGCTTGTAAGATTTATCCATGCCATTGTGTGTAGAATTTGTTCATTTGATTGCCCAGTTTTCAACAAACATTGAATGAAAACAGGCAATTCACAGAAAAACAAACAGACAGCAAACATATTAAACAATTCATAACATCACTCATAATTAAAGCAATTAAAGTCACAACAGGATTTAATTTTTCATCTTTCAAACTGGCAAAATTTCAAAGGTTTTACAAAGCTTGGTGTTGCTAAGGATGTAGAGAAATAGGTATAGTCTTATAAAGTAAGATAACAGAAGGCAGTAAAATTGTTTTATAGGCCATTTGGATAATATCTACACAACCTTAAAAGCATTTATCCTCTGACATAGTGATTCTATTATTAGGAATCTATCTATGGCTATCAGCCCAAATATTTCAAAACACATATTCCTGTGTGCCTACTCCAATCTTGTTTTTAATAGTAGAAACATAGAAAGGATCTGAGAGGCCCCCAACAGGGGATTACACATGGAAATACACTTGCAGAGTTGTAATAATTTTTTCCAGGGGCACAGGTTGAAGATCCCTGACTGAAAATGTTGGGACCAGAAGTGTTTCAGGTTTCAGACTTTTTTATATTTTAGAATATTTGCATATATACACTATAATGAGATCTCTTGGGGATGGGACCAAAGTCTAAACATGAAATCCATTTATGTTTCATATACACCTTATACACAATGATATTGGAAGTAAACTATACATTTAGCCTGTGTTTTCACTGCAACCTGTCACCTGAGGCCAGGTGTGGAATTTTCCACCTATGGTATCTGGTGACACCCAAAAAGTTTCTGATTTTGGAGCATTTCACATTTCAGATTAGGGATGCTTACGCTGTAGGCTAAAACTGTAGGTTGCCCCAGGGAACAGTCTGAGGACCAGGGCAGGAAGCAAGAAGAGAGGAAGGCTTCAAATTTAATTTCACTTTTCTGCATCTATTTTTTTTTTTTTTTGCATGCTTGTATTAACTAGTCTTATAATGCAAGATTCTGTTGGGTTGTGTTAAAATGTAGCTTAAAATTTCTACAATATGTAAAATTATTATGTCTATGACCCATTTTAATTTTAGTACAATGCATTAAAGTCTTTATGAATATGACCAGTATGTGCTTTTGAACATTTTTTTATTTAACTAAATAACTAATACCTTTTTAGCATTTATTTACCTTATAAATGTTTCAAGTTTTAAGAAACTTAAAAATGGCTATGTAGTTGATAACATTTATTTGCATACTGCTAGTGGAGAGGATTTTGAATGTTCCCAACACACACACACACTAAACATTTAAGGTTCCAGATTTACCAATTACCTTGATTTGATCTTTAAACATTTATTTAAAAGTCACACTGTATTCCATAAATAGATATCTTATAACATATATATATATATATTTACTTTTCTCATTACTGAGCCAAAATACTTGATACCCAAGGTTAAAGGAGGAAAAGTTTATTTAGCTCAGAGTTTGTAGAGGTTTCAGTCCATAATTGGTTGGCTCGAAGGCAGAGTGGCACATGGCAGAGAAGCAACAGTTCATGGTGGCAGAAAACACCAAAAACAATGAAAGAAACAAATCTATTTCTGTTCCCTATATTGTATACAGGCTACTTGCCCTACGGCAGTTATAGTACTCACACCCTTAGTCCCATCATTGGATCATGAATCAATTACAAAGTCTAGATTTAGCTGCCTCTGAGAAGCCCACCTACCACGACCACATGAGACTTTGAGGGGACATCCAGACACAAACCATAACAATATTCAACGTTTATATGCCAATTAAAGTCTTAAAATTTTTAAATGGCTGAGCCATGGTTAAAAAAAATATTCTGAGAAACTCTGGAAGAAATGAAATAGAGAAATGAGGTGGACTACAGGATGGAAATGAAACTACTGGGATGAAGGATGGAGCATGGAGGAAGAGAAAGTGATCATGTAGGACAATAAGCATGTGCTTTCACTGAGACAGAGGCTGTGGGTTTCAACCAAGTAGGGCAGGTCCTGGCTGCTGGCCCCAAATCCCACATCTCTAATTCTACTGATACAGTTTTGCTTTTCAAATTGCCATTCTTTTTCAGCCTTTTTGATGACCACAGACAAATCTCAGGTACAGATTTTCAACCAAATCTACCTTACACTTTCAAAAATCTGTATTTAATTGTGGGCAACTATGTATTACTCTCTATATAATGATTGTACCTGGAAACAGGACTGCTAGGCTCATAATGGATATCTGAGTGTGCATATGAGTGAATGGAGCAGTCCTTGATGTAAAAAAACACCTATTTGGAGCTGGCCAGCCAGGGTAACAGTGCATCTTAAATCCTAACAGGTTCATTAGCTTCCAGCCTCCTCCACAGACCTTCCCTAAAGCTTCACTGCTCAAAGTGGGGTCCATGGGCCAGCAGCAGCAGCAGCAGCAGCAGCAGCAGCATAACCCTGCAGCTTGCTAGACATGTACTTCTCAGGTCCTGCCCTCATCTATGGGTTCAGAATTTGTGTTTTAATAAAATCCCAGGCCATGTGGGTACACAACAAAGTTTGAGAAGCATAGTAAGCTTGAAGTACAAATCCCACCATGCTTTTGTCCAATTATAAAACCTGCAAAAGCTGCCTCAGGAACAAAGCCCAAGCTCTTCATCTGGCACTCATGATCTTCTATGACCTGACACTCATCTCCCGTTCTACTTGGAATCCTGACTTCTCTTCTTGTATCCCCATGCTCCAGCCATACCATCCCTTTGTGGGGTGTTGCTTTACCCCAGTGCCTTTGCTTAGGTGGTTGATCCTCCCAAGGACCATGGTTCCTTTCTATATTGAATGACAAAGTGTAAAAGTCAGTCCTTTTTCCATCTCTTCCATGAAATCTATTTGATTAAACCTGCTTACAGGTCATATTTGTAGTGTCTGACTTCCTACAAGGCTATGTCTGCATCTCCTAGAGAGCTTAGTGCTTTGTATTTTCCCTTTCAAATGGCTACATATAACTACTTATAACCACCTTTGGCTGGAAGCCAAATTGTTACTTATAACAACTTATAAGTAAAAAATCTTGCCTGATCAATTTTTAAGCTTGCCAGTATTCTACAGTAGGTGCTCATATAGTTCATTAAATGTATGAATATATGGGTTTATATATGAACGCATGAACAAGTGAACGTCTTAGCACACATCTTTATATAGGATGTATTGATACATGAGAGCAATCATTGAATTTATGGTATTCATTTCAGGTTGTATCCAGGTTGCTACCCTAAAAGATCTTAAAACAGTACGTTCTGAAAAAGAAGATTTCTAAGTCACACAAACATTTAGCTAGCTCTAAGGCAGCACAGGGAAGCGGTCACATAAGTTTCATACTAACAGATGAAAATTTTTATGGTGGTTGTAGAGGGAACATGCAAAACAATGAGTCAGAACGAGCGAGTTCCAGCTGTGCGGGGAAGCTTTATTCAGAAGGAGTAAATTATGGTACTTTCTGCAACTAAATTTTTCACCCATGTGAGGTGAATAAACTCCTTCTGGAAATTACTCTTATGAAATTACTTCTTCCAAGACACTTCAGACTGGTGCCCCTGGAAAGTTAATTAACCTTACTCATAACAATCTCACCCCTAAACCATTTGCAGTGTGTGTGTGTGTGTGTGTGTGTGTGTGTGTGTTTTAACCATGGATTAGGTGAATCTTCATTTACATCTGAGTGTGGCCTAAATTATACAAAGGCTTTCTGGTTGTTAGTATTTTTTCCTTATGCCATTTCTTTAGATGACATTCTGCTCATGTCCAAATGATGTTTTAAAAATGGCAAACCTCTGAGACCACTGGAGAGCAGTGTTTAACTTGCTTGAATGGGGCTGTCACCGTTATAGGTTATGATACAGTCACAGAGGAGCTGGGGGTTTAGCTCAGCAGCACAGTGCCTGCCTGGCAAGTGCAAGGTCATGAGTTTGATTCCCGGTACTGGAAACATCCCCCCCCCAAAAAAAATAAAATAAATAATATAAAATGATACAGTCACAGTATGAGGAGAGATGGACATAGACTGCAATTCTATGGCTTGGTTCTCTTGGGTATTTACTTTTTCTGAGAAAGGCTGGTTTTTCAGAGCCTTGGAACCATGAAGATTCAGGGGCTAGGTTCCAAGACTGGCTGACTGGCCAACAGCAGGATTTACCAGTCTTCTCACATCCTCCTGTCAAAATACACTCAAGTCATTAGGACAGGAAGAAAAGTTCCTGCAGATGTCTCAATGATTGTGCTGTCACTGCGACCCCTGGCTACTTTTGTGGGAGGAGAATCTCTCTCTGAAACTGAGATTCTGGAACATTAACTCTTAAACTCTGAGATTTTAAATTTTCCTTTAACAATAGACTCCCAACATTGCCATTTCCACAAAATATTTCTGAACTAAGAGTCAGAAAATATTACTGCAAATAACAATTATTCTGTGCTGTTTTACCAAACAGAATTACTATTATTGATATTTATTAATGATACATATCAATAATGATGAGGCAGTCAATGGACACTAATTCACCATGGCACAAATAGTGTGGAAAGAGAAGTATTTTTTTCTCTAAAGGAGGAAAAAAGAAAATAGTGTTGCTTTGTAGAAAGGATGGCTAGACCCCTAAAGATGTGTTCCCCCCTCCTTTGGCCCAAAGGGGACATTTGTCTGCCTTTGTTAGCTGGTCTCTGATGGTCTTTGTCCTCCTTCGTGTGTGCTGCTTTCAGCTGGAATTAATCAGGACTGCAGCAATGATGGGCCATCCCCGACGCCACATGAATGCATCCTTGTTCCCACCCAGAGGATGGGGTTGGAACAATGAGAGCTAATGATGGAATTCTGGAAGCTATCATTTCGAATCAGTTCATTACTTACAGCAGCCTTGTGAAAATCAAGCCAGGCTCATGCTCCATTTCAGTTGAGCCAGCCCAGCCCTCTGCTCCCCCAACCCCTGCACTGAGGCTGAGAAATCCAAACAGACACAGGGCTTTGGATCTCCATGTGGATACTGAGCACCACCTCGTGATGACCACCAGCCAAGATGCGGGCCATGGTGCATTATGGGGTAGCCTTATGAACAGCTGCATGTTGTGAGCTGAAAGACCCAGCCTTGCTTTCTGGCCAGTGTGGAACCTACAAGAGTTAGCTTTCTCCAGGAATCCCTCTCACAAGTACCTGGGGAACCTTGGAAATCCTAGACATGTCCTGGTTTCCACCTTTACCATTCTGCTCATTATGATGAGTGAAGTGAGCAGGTTTCAAAATACAGTTGTACAGATGCCTCATCATTATTGAGTGAGCTTGCTGAGCCCAGCTCAGATTAGCAGAACTTCCCGTCTGAGACAGACTCTCCAATACCACATGACGATTGCTTTAAGCTCTAAGTTATAAGGCAGTGTGTTACATGGTAATAGCTAACTGACAGCTGGCTAGTTCATCTTGGTAAAAGGTGAGCCGATCATACGGTTAGAAAGATGCACCAGGCCAGGCTACAAGTCAGGATCTTAAGCAGAAGACAGCTGAAGACACCACTTTGAGCAGGGAACTAGCAAGATGAGAGACTATCTCAGCGGCTTTGTCCTACAGCAGCAGGATGAAGATGGGAATGAAGCAAGGACAGCCTGGGAGGCAGCAAATCCAGTAAAGGGCCTTCCAGTAAGTTAGTGGGGGCTGAACAAAGCCAGAGGTGGGAGGGACCCAGAGGATGGAAACTGCAGGAGAGCTTGGCTACAGGACAGATGTGGATGGGAAAGGAGGCTGACAATGGTCAGCACTACCCAGATTTCAAGCCAGAGTGTCTGAGAAAATGGTCAGGCCAGTGGGCGACATTATACTTGAGAACATACAGAATATTCACTGGGAAAGTCCAGACTTTGGGACATAAGGGACTATAACTGCAAATGGAACCCAGAAGAGGGAGATACTTTGAGAATTCAAGGTTTGATCAAAATATACAGTGAATGTTTTTTTTTTAAAGTTACTATACTAAAAAATAAAATGCCCCTAATGCCTCTCAAACTATTTCCCCTTGCTCTGGACACACTTATCCCATCATTCTTGCCGCTTTCTGAAGGAGTTCTGGAAGTCCTCCTTGGTAAACGTCTTTATGAGTTACTGGGAAAAAAATTACACTGAATGATGTTGCCAAGGGCTACCCGACAGAAAGGCGGGACTGTACAAACACCAGTGCACCCTCAACCACCTTATTCACAAGATCTGGCACCACGCGACGTCTGGCTCTTCCTCAAGTGACCATGAAAGGTAAATCTTTTTTGTTTGTTGTTTTGTTTTTATTTTAAAAGGGAATAATGAATAAGAAAAAACAATAAAAATGATACAGAGTTTCAGAACAAGATGATAGGAAATTAGCAATGGTTGCTATATTGCATATTGTTATCTTCAAAGTAGTTGTTCAGAGTACCAGATATAGGCATGTTTTGAATTGACCCAGGATATTGTGCAGCCATAACAGCACAACTAAAGAGAGTTTTCTTGGAACAACAAGATCTGGAAAAAATCTGGTATCATATATATTGCCTCATTTGGTCTCCTAAGTGGGTCTTTAGCATCCTCCAAAATTGTATGCCTGGTAGAGGGGACTGCCTCCTTAGTCCACTGGTCCCCAGACCACTCACTATATGCAAGCAAAGCACTAAGCACATGTCACCACTTTATAAGAGAGGAAACTGAGTCACTAGCCCACATTCTTCCAGCCCCTATGATGTGGGACTAGAATGTAAACTCTATTCACCTAAATCCTCCCTCCTAATCTCTCTGCCATGGTGTCAGAGTCCAGGGCTCCATGTTCTTCTGCTGGGACCACTCAATAAGATGACCCCAGGTAAGCAATAAGAGAAACTGTGAGGAGTGCCTGGACAATGCCACTGAGGCTATAGGAGGGAAAGGGACCTGAGGCCCACTGAGACCTTTCTCTGTGGTAGCCACAGACCAGGCAAAGACAAAGAAACAGAGGTGCAGTTACTGTGACCTTGAGTCCTGCTGTGTCAACTTCACTGGACTAAGAAATATCTAGCAGATTAATAAAGCACACCCCTGGGTATGTCTGGATGGGTCATGGAGACGTGACCTTGGGTCCTAGATCTGATCTCTCACCCATTCCTCCCTGGCACTGTTCCCTTGCTCTGCTTTTGGGCCACCATGAATGCTGCAGCTTTACTCTGCCACATCATTATGCCATGATGTTTCTGCCTTGCAACCAGCCGACCATGGACTGAATCCACTGAAACTTAAGACCATGAGCTAACTTAAGCCTTTCATCCTTTAAACTGTGTGTGTCGAGTATTGTGTTCCAGAGACAAGAAGGCTGACCAATACACTTACCGTCCTTAGGATTTGGTTGGTTCTCCGCAGGCTGCTCAACAAACTTCAGCAGTGGGGATCTTGACCTTTGTATGGTAGAAAGAGTAGGGTCACTGAACAGTATGGTATCCTTGCCCCCTGTCATGGAAAAGGGGAAAATGGATGTGTCATGTCACCAGTGGAGCTGGGCTGCTTTTGTTCCTACACAATGAACTGGCTGATTGGTTAGAACCCTTCTTCTCTTGCAGATAACGCAGAGGGAAAGAGCCAGCAGGCCCTTTCTCTACGGTGAGGGCCAAGCCAGATGTCTGTGATGACAGACCCTGACTCATTCCTGACAGTTGGCTCAGGCACGGATGCGGATACATGCTACTGTAGCCTGTACATCTCCCAAAATCTGAGTAGATGAGACAAAAACAATTCTATTACTAGCAGAGGGTCGGGAGAGTAGGCTTTGGGGCTACGCTGTGCTGTGTGTGCTCTAGATAATGTTACTTGCTAAATGGCTGACATCAAGAAAGTCACTTCACCTTTCTGGGCCTCAAATCTCTCATCTGCAAAGTGAGGGAGGAGAGTAACAGCGCCCATGTCTTGGATGGCTGTGATCATGAAATGAACTGATTGATGCACAGTGTTTGGGTCTTTTGCCAGCACTTGGCAGATATCACCTGTTGAATGATTAGTGTTGGCTTCCATGCACACTATATCTGATCTGATTCCACTTGGTCATTTAGATTGAATAGTAACTATGTCTTAAGGCAGATAGTGTCTAGTCTTCCAAATCTTTCCAGCTGAACTTCCACTTAGAACATACAGTGCCAATGCAGCCATGCCCTTCTACCTACTATAACAAGTCCCCAAACAGATGGAAAAGCTTGGGAAAATTAGGACAAGAAAAAGAAAAACATGACAGATCTATGCTAGAGGCCATGGCAAGTTACAAAGGTGAAGAGTAGCTTTGAATGTCAGCCTGATGGGCAGATACCAGACACGAAATACATAGACATAAAATGATACAGTCCCCAAGGTCAGGAGAGCCCACCACAGAGGATGTAATGTCAACTTTTGGCCCACAAGGCTTTGGCTTTCTCTCATTGTGCCAGAAATGAAGCCCCAGGGGCCACGAGTCCAGCCTGCACTCCCATCTTACGTGTCTCACCTTGGGCAAGACCCTCTCTAAAGCTGGGTGAGGCCAGTCCAGTAACATCTCTGGGCTCAGATTAGAGGCTCCAAAGTTCTGTGATTTTCCTCCATGTCAGGTTCAGCCAACCACAGAATGGCACTTGGGTCAAAATGTCTACTACTTTTTTGCAGAACCAGGTAAACGCTGGATACAATTCCATGATTGTGCTTGGGCCCCTCCTACTCGTTAATAATACTATCTTCCCATCAGGCTGTGTCTTTTATTAACTTTATTTCCAAGGCTTTGTAGGAAACCTTTGCACATGCTAAGTGTTTAACAAACGTCTGAACAATGGGCTGATGCTTTATTCCTAGGAGTCCTAGTTCCTGGTGGGCCTGGGTACCACTGCTGCCTCAGGCAGATGGACCAGCAGCCACAGCCTCTGCTGCTCTGCTAGCCAAGAATTGTCCCCAAAGACTAGGAGCTGACCCTGAAGCTCTGTATGAGGACTTCTATTGTCTTCTGTGGAAAAAAAACTAGAAATCTTCAGGGTCACAGTCTGCAGAGGATTCCCAAAAAGAGCTATTAATCTGCCGCTCAGGATGTTGACAGGAGCCTATAAGAATAAAATCAGCATGATCAGGCCTCTCTTCATGCAGCAAAGATACAATCTGGAAGCACCTTGATGGCTTCATGGTGATCAGGCCTTGGTCAGCATGAATGTAGAGCAGGTGGCTGGTGTTCGATTTCTTTTCTTTGTCTCCATCAAAGCAACACCATCTGCCCACAGTCATGGACAGGACAGCATTTCTTGATCTGTGTTTCTTTGGCAGGTGGGCTGGCAGCTCTCTAGCCTCTAGGGAACTTGGTAAAGAGCACACGCTGCCCTTGCATGTCCCAGTCAACCTTCCCGAGCCCCTCTGCCTTGGTAGGCAGAGCATCAGAAATGTGGCAGTATGGGAGCTGGAGCTAGCTGAGTGGGGAAGGCAGCCTCTGACAGGTCCTAAGTCCTTCCGAACAAAAGGAATTCATCAGTGTGCAATGTCTTCCTGGCCCCACCCAACCACAGGGTCATTCTCCATGCCACAGTGGTGCTTCAAAAATGCTGGTCCCAACAACACCTTTCCAATACCTCTCCAAACATCTGAGCCATGAGCTCTTACAGGAAGGAAATGAGAACATCCTTTATGTCCAATCAAAGTGTGGGCTGAGGGGAAGATAAATACCCCTCCCAGACTTTTCCCCAGAGAGATCAATGCCTGATCTTAAAGTAAAAAGCCAGGAGGTGGTCATTCTTGACAAATGTTTGAAGGATTCGAAAGCTTTTCTTAGAAGGCACTTAGTTCTATTGTGCTCAAGCCCAGATTCCATCTGTGTTGACTAACTGGAGCCCTAATCTGAGGCTCTGATATCTCGGACTTTCATCTGGCTCTGAAGTCCAGAAGATGGGGAGTGGGGGAGGGGCTCCATGAATTCAAGTCAAGCTAAAATAATATGGAAATTCACATGGGCCCTTCCACTTCCCAGAAGTTCTCCTATCTCTCTCTCTCTCTCTGTCTCTCTGTCTCTGTCTCTCTGTCTCTCTCTCTCTCTCTTTCTCTTGCTCCAGTACTGGAGAATGAAACAAGGGCTTTCACACTGAGCTACACTTTGGTTTTTCATTTTGAGACAGGATCTTACTAAGTTACCTAGGCTGGGCTCTAACTGGCAATCTTCTTGCCTCAGTCTCTCAGAGTGCCAGGATTACAGGCATGCACCACACCCAGCTCTCCCAATTCCTTGTGGCAAAAAAGTCCCCCTCTCCTTCTCCAAAATGTACTAAGTACTTTTAAACCACATATTTTCCTCCTCAGGCCAATGTGCAGAGTGGAAACAGAATGAAAATAAAAATCTCAAGGAGCTAGGCTCTTCTCTAGCCAGATTTTTTTCTTTTTTTCTTCCTTTCCTTTCCTTTCCTTTCCTTTCCTTTCCTTTCCTTTCCTTTCCTCTCCTCTCCTTTCCTTTCCTTTCTCTCTCTTCCTTCCCCCTTCTTCCTTCCTTCCTTCCTCCCTTCCTTCCTTCTTTCCTTCTTTCCTTCCTTCCTTGCTTCTTTTGAACCATGAACACATCCCAGAACCTCCCCTCAGAGATACCCAAGAACCATTCTCCAGCAGAGGTGGACAAGGGCTGAGGGAACAGGATGGCAGGTAAGGAGCTGGGGCGGGTTGGAGGTGATCCCTACTGACAAGTGTGGCTAGCAAGGTCCACCCTCGGGCTTCCCCGCCTGCCCCATAGCTTCTCCACCTGTCAGAGACAGGTTAAACAGTTTGGGATAGGTTGTTCTATCCACATGTTTTCTCTCTGCATGCTATGACATCTGTCAGACATGTCTACTTCTCAGCAACATCACAAGTCATCCCCAAGTCTCACAAACATGAAGAGCTCTAAAGTGTGGACAGAGAGAGGAGGGAGGAGAAAAGAGTCAAAGAAAAAAATCACAGAAGGCTGAAAGTCCAAGAGTTGCTCTGCTCTGTAGTAAGGGTCTGGGAAAACTCTTCCACTGCTGCCTGTTTGAGTCCCCAGAGAGATTGCTCTGGGTGTGAATTCTTTCCCTGCAGCCCACCTTGTCCAGCTGGCCTGATCTGCCCCTTTGCTCTCTCCTCAGAACTGCAGTCACTGAGAACCAGCTGAAGGTCACAAACAGGACAATCTGAACTCCTGCACTCCTGCCAGCCCCTGTGGCCTTAGGAATCATCTAATGTTCTGTCTCAGTTTCCTCATCTAAAATAAAGGGAGATCCAGAAATGGGGGTGTGTTTTTCCACATGCCAGCTCTGACCACAGGTGGTTTCCTGGAAAGCCACTGTGGAGGAGTATTCTGAGGACCGGGTCTGAAATCATTAAGGAAGAACAAAGTAATAGATTAGCAATGTCTGCCACAGGCATGGGAATGGCTGTTGTATGATCTACACCATCCTTGCATATCTTGCTCTCAACTGTCCTTCTACAATGAGCATCCAATGACTCCTCCCCTCACCCCTCACATCTTAATATTTTTATCCCTCATTTAACTCTGAATCATGTACCATTCTCTGCTTTCCTGTCACTGCCTGATGTATATTCCTCTTGCTCCTCTAAATGGACTGCAGATTCTCAAAGAGAGCAAGGGGCGTGACCAGAGTGCCTGGTTCAGCATGTGATTCACAAAGTCGGTGCTCCGGCAGGCATCCACACATTGACAGGCTGGTCCATAGGGTCTTGCTTATGACCCTTTCAGGATACTTGTAAGCAAGAGAGAGTTGGCAATTCTCTGAAATCAAGGACTTGTGTCCTCCTGTTGGCCAAACACTGTGATTTGATTCCTATAGGGGGAGAGGATGAGAAAGGGGAAGAAGAGGAAAGAGGAAGAAGGGAGGAGGAGAAGGAGGTGGAAAAGAGTACACTGCCTCTCACTCCACTATTCAGTTGTTAAGTGGAGACACATAAAATAATGAGCAGAAAGGGTGTCATCTGACTCACACTGGAAGAGGCTTCCCCTGCCCTTATTCCTGAGGGACTGAAGATATCAGCATGAGTCCTCACATATGTGAGGATCTATCTGCACATCCCCCATGCACCAAAGAGATGCTACTGTCTTACACAAACTGTATTAGAGCCAGAGAACTGCCCTTTCCCTCCTGTTCTCACCCTTGCAGCTCATTGAAGCCAGAGACTAGAACAACCACGGCCACCATACAACATGCACTCAGGCAAGTCCCTCTGAGCTAATGCTGCTCTTTAATATTTGCTCCATACTAACTGAATTCTCCATATAGTCAGACAAGCTCAAGGAAACACAGATAATGGATTTCCACTTATTTACATGCAGGATGACAGAATGCATGGCTGACATTAGCCCCCAAAACACATATTTCAAAAAGAACATACTGCCAAATCCTATGGAAACATTGTAGCTCAGGCCTGGAGGCAGCAAAAGAGAGGAAAGAAACAAGTGTTATGGCAACATCGCATCATGACGTCTCACCTGGCCCTCACACCACTAGACAGAAAATTCTCAGCATTTGTCCTCTTCAACTCATTTTTATATAAATTATAGAAATGAAACAGTGAGAAATTTCACTAAGTCGTTCTGAAAAGAAAAGAAATCAAATCTCTGGTCTGTGCATGCACAGATTCTACAAACAGGTGATATATTCGCCTGGCTTCAGCACACTAAAAGCAAGTCCTGTACAGAAAATGGGCTGTAACAGCATCCAAAGGGTCTTACGCCAAATGGATCGTTCAGATCCCTGGACGGCACTTGCCACTAATTACTTCTGCTAGGTCTGTTGACATCAAGTTCAAGGAATCTTGGCTAAAATTCCAATTTATGAATCACACTTCCAGGCAACCGAAGGTGGTCATTCAGATTTACATTTAAGAAAAGTGGATGCTGTCCACCTCCCCGCGGCAATTTTCATTTCTCATCCATTACAGGCAAGCAGCCCACACAAGCCAAGGGGACAGGAGACCGCTTTGCGCAGAAAGGGTAAGCAACTAAAAATACACTCTTCCTTCCAGGGAAAGAGGAGGTGGGAGAAAACGATAAATATAAGTTTCTAAAGAGTAGGCATAGCTGACAGGGGTCTCCTGAAAGGGGTATTTTACCAAGATAAATGGGATAAATGCAGCTAATTAAAGCGAAGCATCAGTTTCCTCACATGTTGGGCAAATGTGGGGGGAAAAATTCCTCGGGAAAGTTTTGTGTTCAAGCTGCGTAAAAATGGGATGGCGGAAGGCAAGAGAGGGTGATGGTGAAATACACTGGGTTAGAAAAGATGTTGGTTCTTCATTTTTAGTGCCGGTGATTAAACTGAACACATCTTTGTACGTGCTTACATTCACTTTTAGGACTGATGATTAAATTGAACAAATCTTTGCAAGATCTTTATATTCATTTTTAAGACTGATGATTAAATTGCACAGATCTTTGTATATTCACACATTCATTTTAGGAGCGATGATTACATTGAACAAATCTTTAGAAAATATCTACTGGTAAAAAAAATGAAACAATTCACTACATTCAATATATATATATATATATGTGTGTATATATATATATATGTGTGTGTGTATATATATATATATATATATATATATATGCACACAGACACATAAATGACAATTTCAGAATTTAGGTTAGCAGAATTTTCAGTGCCCCACACATGAGAAGTTAAATATTTATTATATTTTCAGATTCTGTCTTTCTAAATTTAAAAGATTTGTAGGTTTTTCAGCAATGATCTACAAATAAAAAGACATTAAAAGGGTAGACTCTGCAAATTGTACAAGAGGTTCTTTTTAAAAACAGTTTTCATGACGATCTGTTTACCTGGAAGACTCCACAAACCAGAAACTTCCAGAGTTCTTAATTTTTTCTCCAACTCAGCTACTCGATTCCCCAGGATTCTGGAAAGAGGGGAGAATGACAACAGATTAATGAATAACCTGTCAGCTTTCAGGGCTGAGAGGTGGCTTCCAGGGAAACCTAACAATGCCTGAATAGAGAAAAAATGATTTGAAATATAAATAAAATGCCAAAAAAGGAACGCATGTATGTCTATAACATATACTCTATTGAGTCATATAGGAAAATAGAAACTAGGGTGAATGATTATATATACATGTGTATATGTGTATCTACCTACATCTATATCCATATCTATATCTATATCTATATACCATTCAAGCAGTCCTCTTCCACAACATGGATCCCTTGGGAAGCTAAATAACTATTCTACGATTGCCCAAAACATCTTATGGAATTTCATATTTGCGAATTGCTCATGGTTAAAGATAACAATCTGGATTACCTTTAGGAGTACCGTACCTTGATTCTTAGGGTGGATTAGATTTTCTGGAAACAACTGAGTCTAACTAGTAAGATGGGTGAACGTGCTTGGTAATGTGGCTTTTAAGTGACTAAAATAATAAGATGGATCTTTGTAGACCCACAATGTGCCAGGCATTTCCATAGGCCGAATGTTTAGCACAATGCCTGATGCAGGGTAGGTCCTCAATACATACATTTGATTAAATAAATGCTTTTCTTTTTTGTGATTTGTAATTACCTATGGAGCAAATTAAAATAAGTATTTCAAAGGAGTTTTCAGGAATTTCAGAATCAGTACAATACATTATGTTGCTTTTGCATTTTGACTCACTGGGCTATAGCAGACTCTAGAATATGTATTGGAATACATTCTTGGAAGCCAAACTCTGTGTATATGCACAGGTGGATATAGATGTGGACATGCATCCTCCCTCTATACACAATTAAATATAGCCAGGAAATGATTTGATCCTCATCAAAAGCTTCAATCACTTTCTATTGGCCTGGAAATTGAAAAATAGTCTTTATTTTATTTGGGGGATTTTCTTAGCACTGCTGTGTTAAAATGATGTGGAAATCACTATAATAGCCAAGTTTCAATTCCTTTCAGCAGGATAAATCAGAACAGCAGAATTATTCTCCTACCTCTCTTTAGATTCCAGAGATAGCTGCACACACCCACATACATAGAGAGGCATGAATATGTATAGGTCTGCACATATATACGGCTTTGGATTCATCCTTATTTTACCTGAAATGACTTGTAGCATCTTAATTAATATTCCCTTGGAGTTCATAGCACACTTTGACGTTACTGTATGCAGTTTTCCTCATCTGGGTACTCAGAGCTTTGCTTTTCTTCTTTTCTTTAAGTCTTAAAATTCTGCATAGTCTTTATCAGTTACTTTCCACGTCATTCCATTTGTTGGGCCTTTTTTGCTGTCAGGTTCTTGACCTTTCCATAGACACTGGTCCTCTAATCTTGCTTGCAATATTTTGCTCGGACCCCCTGATCCCAGCTCCCTTTCGCCAGCTGATGGGCTGGAGATGTAATCACAACGACACCCATTTCTTAAGGAAATGGGAACATCTGTTCACAGCAGCCTCTCAGAAACAAAAGATAAGGCTCCACTTGGCTGGGCGAGCTGAGGGATGCCGATCAGGCTGCATGTGAAAGCGTAAGGCAGATGCACTTGGTTCTATTTTCTCTGGCATTCTTGGACAGCACAGCCATTTCTCCCAGAACTGGAACAACACGAATTCAGAGGTATCCCCAACAATGGACTTCCAGGAACTCTGTCAAATTGTCAATCGTAGGTGTTTTCTTTTGGGGAGTTTTTCTTTCTTTCTCTTTTGGTGCTGGGAATCGAACTCAGGACCTTGTACTTGCCATGCAGGCACTTGTGCCACTGAGCTATATCTCCAGCATGGTGCTTTCTTTGTGGACTGACACTTATCCACTTCCCAGCATCTGACTCAGGACTAGAGGTAATCAAATGGGCCCAGGAGAAGTTGTGGTAGTTGTAATAACAATAACAAAATCAACAACAAAGTGACTGCACTGCTATGAAGAAAGAGCCAACTAATCTTTCCTGCATCCTCATATGAGGCATAGGCCACACAGAACATAGCTGTGGAACATAGCTGGCATTATCTCATCTGAGTTGACAAAGGCCCTGCAGTGGACATTGTATTATGATGCTTCTTTTACACACATGGGCACAGAGGAACAGAGAGGTTAAGCAATTTGTTTGAGGACACACAGTTCATCTCAAAGCAGTCTCTCCCAGTACTCTGCTCATTGAAACCCAGGATGCAAGTGACAGGGCTGAGACAACAACAGACTACAAGAAATGGGAACAGAGATGACTCCTCCAAGAGTTTAGCAGAGCATGCAGGGGGAAGCCAGGGCAGTGGCCTGTGGGTGGCTTTTTGGGGTGGGCGGTAAGGTGGGATATTTTTAAATAAAGCTTTTATTTAGGATTTTTCTTCAGAGCAGGGGAGTTCTCAGTCTCTACTTACCTAGCCATCCAGGAAGATCCACAAAAGAGGTCTTCAGATAGACATTCCAGCGTGGTTTCTTTCTCACTACAACCCATCCCCATTTTTATTTTTACTTTCAGACAGGGTCTCAGTAAGTTGCTAAGTTAACCAGGCTGGGCTAGAGCTTGGGATCCCCCTGCCTCAGCCCTCCAGAGTGTTGAGATTACAGGTGTGACCCATCACACCTGTCTTCAGCATGGTTTCTGATGAAAACAATATCACTGAGGGTGGCAGGGTTAGGAATCTGCATGGATAGAACTAGCTCAGGGGGCTGGGGATTTAGCTCAGCAGCACAGCGCCTGCCTGGCAAGCATGAGGTCATGAGTTCGATTCCTGGTACCAGAAAAAACTCAAAAAACCAAAAAAAAAAAAAAAAAAAAAGCACTAGCTCAGAAATGGCCCACTGTGGTACCTGCAGGAACCCAGGAGTGAGCATTCTTGAGGGGCCCAGTCCTACAGGGGATGGAGACAACTGTGGCCCTACATGACCTGGAGAAACCACTGTCCATGCTCTTACTCCATCTGGTGGCCTTCAAACTATATTGACACCTTTTCCTCACTACCCAAGACCTTAAACTTCCAAACCCATTTGCCACTGGTCAGGGAAGGGGAAGAGGAAACAGTTTTAGTGGCAGCAGTAAAGTATGTTAACATATTCACCCAAATGCACCATCCATCTCTGGGACTTATGGGAAAGCTGGGGACCAAAATCACGTTCAGGGAAACATCACTTTAGCCACTGACTCTCCTATCAATGCTCTGTCCCAGTTCATTGGATGAATGGGCCCAATCTCTTCTTTAGCCATAACTAGACAACTGCCAACTTCAATTTTAGTGAGAAGAACCTCAAACAAATTGCCTAGTCACTGAGTGTCACTTAAAATGCAAAGTCCAAGTATTATTCATCCATCTTCAAGATGGCTCCCTGTGGACTATTCCCTAATGGGGGAACTGTCAGGCAGTGGGTCACCAGCAGGGGGAGTATGCATCCCCGGAAAGGAGGACTTTCATCCTCTCCACCTCACTATCCCAGAGCTGTTTTATTATTTCGGTTGCAAAAGTAAATCATGAGCGATAACAGTAAGCAAGCCAAATTCACAGTCTATTCTTAGCCCTTCCTTTGTAGTATAATTAGTTTCTTTACACACTCTCAAATAAAACATTTACTGAAAATATGAACCTTAAGACCTTCTGCATATTAAAAAATGGCACATTAGGCCCCTTATGAACTGATATGTAGCAATCTCCATGATCGATTGTTACGGAGGAAATCAAGGTGCAGAAAAAGAAAAAAAAAAACCTTTTCTGTATGAATCCTTGCTATCGTTTGTTTTAAAAAATGTGTGTAAACACCTGAATGCATTTGCTTATATATGCATCCTTTGGATGTGAGGAAGGGTAGCTTCTTCCATCAAAGAGTTTGGGTAGCTGAGGGGAGGCGACTGGAAATTCATGGTTGTTTAAACATGGAGTGGTTCAAAAATTATTTTAAAATACTAACCATGCACCAGGCATGGTGGCAAATACCTGTAATTCCAGCACTCTGGAAGGCTAAGGCAAGAGGATTGCAAGTTGGAGCCTGAGCTGCAAAATTTAACAACTTGGTGGGACCCTGTCCCAAAATAAGAAATGAAAAAAGGCCTGGGGTTGATGTCAGCCTTCTGGATAGAGAGAGAAAGTGCTCTGGACCTAGGGAAGGCCTGTGCTGGCAGTGGCTGCGGTGAGAAGCACGCAGGACATCAGCCTGCCAGGGGAAGCAGGAGTCTTCTGCAGAGGAGAGGCGCCCTGGTGAGGACTCAGCCTGGTTGGCAGCACAGGCCGGAGGAGGCGCTCAGCACTGTGCCCAGTGGGGGTGCACAGCTGCGCAAGGTGCGTGGCGGGGAGGAGGGGCTGGACCCTGAGGATGGAGGTGGCGATGGTCTGAGGGGAAGAAGACAGAGGGGCACACAGGAGAGGTCTCAGAAGGCCCATACTCAGGAAAGGTGTCACAGACACACACTCAAGACACTGTCCAGCCCGACCACTGTGAGGATGTGGGCATTAGGGGAACAGGAGCGGAGGGTTTGAAGATGGTCGATTATCCGTCCATCAAGCACCATGTGTGCTCATGGGAGCCGGTGCTGCACTACACACTGGGGGAGTGGAGTGACCGTGACAGGCACAAACATTCAGGCCTGGGGCAGCTCAGACTTGAGCGGTGCCAGCTCTGCCCAACCGCCATGAAACGTTCTTCAAAACACACTTTGAGTGGTGCATTCTACTCCATCTTCTAGCTGGACTCTAAGTCTACATTCTCCAATTAACAGATACGAGGGCTGTCTCCATTTCTTCACTCTTATAAAAGAATCTATAGTGAACAACCTTATGTTTATACCTATAGGGAGTCATTCTGATTTTTTTCTTTAGGATAAATTCCTAGAAAGAGGCCACCTAGGACAAAGGGCACAAACATGTTTAAGTAATTAAATTCAGAAAGGTTGTTCTGAGCCTTGGATTTGTTGAGTGGGAGGAGCTGAAAAGACACCGGGAGAAACTGTCAACCTAGCAGCTGGAAACGGGGACCTTGCCCTTGATGGAGTGGTGGAGACAAAGGTCTAAGAAAAGAGTGTGCAGAGAGTGAGAGGCAAAGGCAGAGACAGGGCGTGAGGTCCTGGGGCAGGGAGGGCAAAGCGGAGCAAGAAACAGAAAAAAGAGGCCCTGCAGGATCAGGCTGGGGGATGAGGAGCAGGGGGAAAACGAAACAACACCACAGAGACAGTTGGAGGCTCAAAGGGAAATTTCAAGATGGCGCTCTGATGTGGAAGAATTACAGAAGAATGAAATTCAAAGGTGGAGTCTGCAGACCCTGGTGACTGGCTCAGACAAGTGAGTGGACTTTGCAGGAAGAGGTCTCAGGAGGTAGCAAGCCAAGGTCATGTGTCTTTCCGCTCGTGGACTCTCCTGGGCTTACTGATGTCCCCTGAGTCTGCATTTCTAATGAAGCGGGCCTCCCAGGTCACCGCCAGTGGCGACCTCCAGGACACACTTTCCCAGGGGCCACCGAAGAGTCCAGGTGGTCTTTTTTGAGCAATGCCGGTGGATCAGAAACCTAGGGAGACAGAAGGTGGAGGAAAGGCTTCTGTGCTCCGGGTGAAGGGGCAGAAGTCGGAGGAGGGGAGGAGTTGAGGTTGGAAGAGGAAGTCACAGCAGAGTAAAGCCCCCAAAGGTGACCGTCAATGTGAGGCACAAGGTCACCGGAGGGGCCACGTGTTGCTGAGGCAGGAGGAGCCGAGGCGGGAAGACACAGGTTTCAGGGAGGTGGCAGGTGGACGGGCTCATGCTGAGTGGTCCCTGTTTCTCTTGTGGTCACCTGCTGAGAACAGATCAGACCTGAGGAGGCTGGGAAGAGCCCACCGCCCTGCTGAAGTGCTCTGTGGGGAGGAAGGACAGGGGCCAGCAGGACACGAAGATGCCACTCCTTCCTCCTCCCTGCAGCGCAGCTGCCCTTTGGCGTGGGGAGGCTTCCTTGGGGAAGGTTTCACTGTGCAAGACGGTTACAAAATTCTGGGATCGATCACCCTTGTTGCCCCATGAAGACGCTGGCCGCCTTTCACTGCGCCTTGCCTTTTTCCACATACACCTTCATCTCCTGTGCGGTCTGCCCAGTGCTCCGTCTTCTGTCTTCTCCCTCTCCTATTTTGTTTTTACAGTACTTTCAATTATCTCCCAGTGGCCCCTCCACAGTGCCCGGTTCTCCCACCCTTCCTCTCCTGGCTCCGAGCCTAGCATCTTTCTGCGTGTCTATTCTGGTCCAGTGAGCATAGATCTTGGGAGCAGGACTCACATACTATCGAATCTTCAGAGGAAAACCACAAGCTCCTCTCTTATAAATTTCAGGACAGTGACAGCAGAGTGTTGGACCAAGTGCCAGGCCCCTCTCAGGGCACGTAGCACATCACCAAGTCTCACCGTGATGCAAATGTGTTCCCCAAATTCCCATGTCAGTGGGAGCTGATTAGGAAGAGATGAGGTCCTGGGGGTGGGACCCTGTGGCAGCATTAGTGAAAGAGCGACTGAGCTAGCACAGGCTGTCTCACCACCAGATGTCCTTTGTCATGTGGTAACACAGCAAGAAGCCCTCTTAACATACTGGTGCTCTGATCTTGGCTTCCCAGCCTCCTGGGCTGTAAGAAGTAAATTTCTTTCTCCCTCTCTCTCTTTTTTTTTTTTAATAAATTACTCAGTCTCAGGTATTCAATTATAGCAGCAGAAAATGTACTAATGTATGTAATACTCATTGTTTCAATTTAGTGTTTTATTCACCATTATCTGAGCATCTTTCAGTTTTGCTCTGTTGCTTCTAACTGCTACTTTGACTTAATTTAACTGGCTTGATTTTATAGTCAGTGTGTTTTAAAAATCCAATAAGCTGGGCATGCTAATACAAGCCTGTAATCCTAGCACTCTGGGAGGCTGAGACAGGAGGATTACAAGCTCAAGCCCAACCTGGGCAATTTAGCAAGACCTTTTCTCAAAATAAAAGATTAAAAATAGGCTGAGGATATAATTTAGTTTGATGGTCCTAGGTTCAGTCCCCAGCATCTCTCTCTCTCTCTCTCTCTCTCACAAACACACACACACACACACACACACAAACATACACACATTGCATTCAGTTTTATTTATTCGTTCTTTCTACCACCTTTTTTTGATGACCTGGAAGAGAGCCATGAGCCTCCCTTACAAGTCCAGCTGCTTAACAAAGTCAGTGCCTGAGTGGTTCCTGCCAGTCACAGCCCTTCAAGCTGTCATGGCACTGAGCCAAGTGTGCCCCTAAAAACAGACCTGGAAGGGAGGTAGGGCAAGTCACCCAGGAAATCACCACAGAATCCATGTTACTCAATGTGTGGCCCCCTGTAAGTCTCCAGGAAGTGACCACCAGGATTATTGCTTTGCTCGATCCAGCCTACAGTCAAGACCCAGGCTGTTCTAAAGAAAAAGCATGGTTCTAGTTTAATGCATGTCCTTCCAAAACTGAGGGATATCACCTTCCTCCCATGAGGCTTGTGGTTCCACCTGGCTGCCATTCCCTTCTGGTAGCCTCTCCCCCTGCCCTCCCCACCCCACGGCCTCCCCTAGAGTCCAGCCACCTACTTGTTGGTTTGCCTCTGGTGCTGAATGACCATGTTTTTCTCATGGATAGTCTCCAACAGGGCAGTTGCCAGAGATTTCAGGTCTGAAATGGACTGCGGTGTAGCAGGGAGACTGCACCCGTGATCCTCAGAGAGCAGATCCTGAACTAGATAGGACAGAAAATTGACAACTTGGCTGTCAATTCACCTAGGAAATGGGACTGCAAACCAATGTCAGTTCTTCCTGGATAATGGGAGGTTCTCAGCTTCTAAATGCTACTATAGTGTATCGAGAGCTTGCCTCAAGCGTCAAGGGTAAAATAAAATACAGTATGAGAGTTAAAGAGAAGAGAAAAAGTCCTGGAGGAGTTTTAGCATCCACACCCTCTTTTTTGCAGTGCTGGGGATGAAATCCAGGCCTTGTGCATACTAGGCAAGTACTCTGCCACTGAGCTATACCCTTGGCCAGCCACGATTGTTTGAGATAAAAATATTTGCATTTGCCCAGTATGTTTAACATGTTCATTCTACTCACTGAGACTTAAAACTGAAAAACCAAAATAAGCCCAAACCCTGAAAAGTAGTGTTTCTTTCTGCTTCATAGGAAAGCAAGGGGCAGACAGACTAAAAACATTGGCTGAAAACCACAATGCCATGTAAATGACAGTGACTCCTCACTCTGAGATCCTTGCTTTGTATGAGTTTCCTACAGTGTGCTACCTTAGCAAGCAGCAAGACAGTGTAGGAGGTTTTACATAACATGCAAAATTTTTTTGAGTTTCAATAGCTGCGCCTTATTTGAAGGTAGTATACAAAAGAAAATATATGGCATAGCAAACTAGTAACTTCACAGATGCTAGTGTGTAGGACAAAGCCAAATAAAATGGGTCACCTTATAATTGATTTAAAGAAAAATATCAAGCAAATAATAGCCTAGGTGGTACAAAGATATGGCGAGGAAATGTAAAGCAGCCTGTAAATACCTGCATGTTGGGAAAGAGTTCATTACACACTGACTGGCTGTTCCTGGAAGCTTATTACCCCACAGACTGCCAAGTTACAGTCATGGCCAAGTTCAAAATGGAGCCAAACAACAATATCCTGAGGTCAGTGTAACTACAGGATTTAGACCGTGTTAAGAGGTGCAGTGTGCACACCCTGCCCTGGATGAGTCTGTTGACCTATCAGTCATCTACGGACAACTCTGATAGGAAATTCCCCTGCTTTCTGCCTAGTTGCCAAAGTATCTAAAACACAATTGCTCCTTCATCTCATGCCACTTATACATGTATAAAGGCATAAATAGTCCAGGGGTGGTAGGAGCAACTTAGCACAAACCAGGGCTATCTTCTCATTTATTCGAAAGAGGGTATTTCTGTTAATATAATGTGAGATTTCATTAGCCTCTTGGGCAATAAAACACCATTAATAAATAATATAAGAATACAGTCTGTTGGGCCGGGGATATAGCTCAGTGGCACAAGCGCCTGCCTAGCATGCACAAGGTCCTGAGTTCGATTCCTGGTACCAAAAAAAAAAAAAAAAAAAAAAGAATACAGTCTGTTAAAATCACTATGACTTTCATTTGTGATGCTGCTAAAACTCTCCTCCATTTCTATTTGTCTGGGCTCAAAATGGCTTAAATGGCTCTCCTGGCAGCCACCCCCTTCTGCAGCATGGCTAATCTGCACGCTGAATCTCTGCTTCTGTCTTTGCCACCCGGGGCTCTTTCAGATACTCAGAGTCAGAAAAGTGTCCTATGAAGAAGTCTGGTTTGAATGCACCCAACATCCTACCCTATCACAAAAGTAACCCACATTTTTTAGGAAGGGTAGATAAGCTGAGATATAACACAAATGTACAACAACTACACTACTCCTCCCAGACACAATAAAGCAATAGTATAAATCTCTCCTTACAGCTCTCTGTATACCATTTCCTGTGTAACTACCTGTAGCTAAAGAAAAAAATCATGCAATTTCAAAAAATGGAGAAAGGCCCTGCTTTTTTTCACTTAACAATACTCAGCATCATTAACACCCTATAAAACATAAAATTTAATGGCTGCTTTAATAGTCCATATATAGATACATAATAATGCCTTGAACTACTGCTGTATATTTATATCACTTCCAGTTCTTTATTCTCATTAATGTATGAAGAATTTTCTGTAGCAAGATGTTCGCATATGTTTATAATTTATTTCCTGCTCTTTCAACAGGGGCCAGTTTCAGACTTTTTTTGAATAGGTTGCCATAGATTGATAGGCTTGGATTACTAATGCTGATAGATCACTGATGATAGGCTTTATGCAGTAGGCTTTTCAGAGGGTCAGGCTTGGGACCTAATTCTGCAGCCACGTCTGACTGGGTCTCCACGCTCACAGCCCATTTGCAATTTATGGCGTCCAGGGCTAAACACAGTTGGGCCAGTTCACATTTTTAAAGAGGATTGTAGTTTTCTTTGAAAAACATTTCTAGGATGCTCTTTTCTAGTGCAGTGGAAACAAAGAAGTTGCTTGGAACAGAGCCTTGCTTGTTAGATAGCCGGGGACTCAGCACTTTTTGTCTAAGCCTCTCAGCTCGGATGGAGACGGCCCCATGGTAGCTGCTGGCTGCACTGGAAACATGGGCCGGCTGAGCATGCGCAACTTGAACCTGTGTTTAGAGCTGAATTCCGAATAGTAAGCGTCAGAACACAAGCTCTCTGCTATTTATTCCCCTGGCCTGTTCCTGGAAGATCATTATTTTTCATTGGAATCGACAAGAAGGAGGAACAAAAGTGCAATCCATAAAAGCTTGTTTGAAAAAGGCACATGTGCCACGGTAAAATGACTCCGGCAGCTACGGGGCTTTTCTCCTCGGATGGCAGAGGCCAGGGGAAGGGGAAACTCAAAGAGGTTGAAGCACGTCTTAGCGAAGCTCAATCAGTGCCTGGGGTAGGGCAATATATTGATATAGGATCGAGTCATTGGGAAAACCTGTAGCGCACGGATTCTCAAAGCGGGACCGCTGAACCCACAGCAGCATTATCTGGGAATTTTTTGGATATACTATCAGGTGCCCATCCCAGACCTATTGAATCAGGAGCGCTGGGGCAGGCCTGGTAATCTGGGGTATAATGAGACTTCCAGGTGATTCCCATGCAGGTAGAAGTTTGTTGACCACTTCTAGAATCACCTGGTCTGCATCTACAAACCCAGCAGCTCAGCCGTGATCAGGAGCACACCAGAAGCAGTTTGTGTTTATAAGTGGTCTCACCTGGGCCAGGAGTGCCTACCTTGCTTTGCAGACAGGACTCCAGTCAGAGCGCTACTGCTGGATTTGCCCTGGCCCTTCGAGTTTTTCCGTCTCTCGAGAGCGTTCTACAGCAGAAAATAACATAAAAACACTTGTTAGAAAAATCAATGATGCAAAAACACCTCACCGGAGGAGAGGAGATGCAACCACCCATTGGCACCAGCAACTCCTTGCAAAATCCACATGCTGCCCTGACATGTGGGGTCCACAGTCCTTGCCAAAGTTAGGGACTTTACAGATCTAGGAAGAGTTTTGTAAAAAGCTGCTGCATAGCCAAATGATAGTAATTATAGCCTCCTGTATTCAAAGGGTGCTCCAGGAATGCTCATTAAATTAAATTATATCTGAAGTCACGACGCAGTCTAATGTGTAAAGTCTAGTTATGGAGATCCCTTTGGAACAGACATGAAATGGAGCATAGGTTTATTTTCATGTCCCAGTAGTGGTCCCTGGATTGGAAAGAGAGCCATGATCAATTAGTGATGTCTGTCACAGACACAAGACTAAGGCAGTACACATGTGCTGCCTATGTGTCTTTCCTTCAGCAAATTCGTGCATTAAAGTTGATGTATGTATCAGTGCTTGGCATACAGAACAAAATAAATGTTAAATTAATGAATCCACATATTTTTTAATTACATAATAAAAGCTGAATGTTCCTTTGGCCGCATGTGTATCTATAGATTGGTGTAGAATAATGTATGCCCCCTATGGAATGGAAAAGCATGGAAATTTCTGAGAACAAAAGCTCATGCCAACAACCATGACAATGAGCGAGCTCTCCCATGCATCCCAATGGCTGTAAAACTTCACTCACAAGAAGAGGAATCAATCTATTTTCAAAGCAGAGAAACCCAGGAGATTTTTCTAATTATAACACTTACAACTAACATCTGCAGAAATAGATATTATCAAACTAATGGTGCTGGAATTAGACTAAATAACAGTGGGGAGAATTCAAACGCCCTGTCCTTTCAGTGTGACGTGAACATTATCGTTCAGAGTGTGATTTCCCAATCTTTGTTTCTTCCTCCCTCAGAAAGCGTTTCCTTATGGATGATTATGAGACAAATAGCATCTGACGACTGCACATTTTCCAGAGAAAATAGAAAGGAACCCTAACTTCACATAGGCTGAGGCTGTCAAGAAGAAATGTCCGGATTCTGGACGCCCCAGACGCTTGGTTTACTTCAGCCACAGAAGGGCTCTGGCAGAAGGTGCTCTGATGCTGTTTGCTGTTTGGGGTTAATTTTTACTGGTTACCCCAGTTAAAACTCTTGTGGGGATCTCTCTTTCAGGGCAGACAAGTACTGAAATATCTTTGGCACATAAAAGAAAATTTAAATAGGATGACATTTAGATGTACAATGGCGAATCACCGTCATCACCATGATTTTGCTACCTTGTATTTGGCGATGTTTGATTTCAAGAGGTTGACCTCTTCGTGGAGTTGTTTTAATCTCTCTTGAAGGTACCTGGAAAAGAATACATCTCACCAGGATGTGTTTGGGAGCAAAACTAAAAAACATACACTAAAGTATGAGAGGAAAAAATAAAAACGACTTGCAAGAAGAGCTATCTTTTGCACATAATGTCTTCCTTCTCCTTCCGGGGAGGAGGAGGAGAAAAATGTACATCTTTGCAACCTTTTCTTAAATGGATGTGATCAAGGTCAAACATGCCCAAATCACTGACAACCCGCTTTAAAACAGCCCTCGCAGAGATCCCCTAAGGGACACCAACACAGTTTTCACATAATTCTCATTAAGATGATTCCACCGGGAAGCAAGGCAAGAAGAGGCGACACCAGGCATAACATTAAGTGAGACACATACACACACTGAAATTTGCCTCAGGGAGAAGAAAGAGCTAGGGGAATTTCTCAATTTATTTTCTTATTCTTTTCCTCTCCTTGATAGCAATAACAAGTAGCTCCTGCTGGGTCCTCACCATGCCGGCCCAAGCAGGGAAGGTGTGGGGGAGACGGGGCTCCATGTGTGGGTGTGCCTTGCCTCTTCACTTAGTTTATGGCTAGTATGTGACATAGGGAGCACTGGGGACCACAACTTGCTTTTCACTTGTAAAGCAATTTTTTCAGATGTAAACAGGGCTGCGAAGAATTCCTACCTCTCCCACCCAGAAGGCCAGCATGACATCAAGCACAAAGACCACCTGCCTGTTCTCCATACACAGGGCGTCCACGTCGATGATGCGGTTCTCGTGGCCTCCCAGGATGTGGTTGAGCTCTTGGTTCAGCCGGTCCACTTTGTCCTGGTAGGAGGCCCGCTCTCCCTTGACATCCTGAAGCTCATCCACGGAGGCCTGCAGGTCGTGCTCCAAAGACTCGATCTGCAACACCAGACATACCCTCACTCAACGTGGTCCCCAAATGTGGGCATTTTGTGGCAAGAGATGGAGCCACTTGCCCGGCTGAGCGATTTTTAGAGAGCTTCTTAATATCACTTGCATGCTATAAAACCAAATGCACTGCATACTAGGTAAAAGCTAGAAGTGAGGGGCTGCCTTCCTGCTAAGCAGTCACTACCTCCCGGATGGCCAGGGTACAGCAGTTTGGGAGACAGACAGGAGCCACGCCCGACCCCTCCAGCGTGCCCTGCAGCGATGGCTTGCACAGGGTGAAGCCAGACCCTGGGAACCACTGCTGGCACCTTACAAATGCATATGTCTCCAGCTCACTCTGGAGACAAGAATCTTGTTCCACTCTTCAAAACCCATTAGCAAGAGGAAGAAAATGATTGGTGGGTTCTTTTAGCTGCTCCTAACTAGGACTCTGTTCCTGCTGAGATTTTACCTAACCAGCATCACTCAGCATTTTGGTGGAAACCTGCAAATTAGGGTCAGGTTGTCAGGTTTTGATTCCTCCAAGCCTAACCTGGTCAGGGGCAGTGTTTGGTTGTGTTCACAACAATGGCACCCGTGTCAGCCAGACACCCATGAGTCAGCTGGGAACCCGGGACAGCACCAGGAGTACAGCAGTCAGCGGCATCCTCTGTCCACCTCCCGCATTCAGGAAGATGCACGGCACATGTCTGCTCCTGGGTTGTGCCCAGCCGTGCAAACCCACCCCCCACTCTTGATTGACACTCGGGACAACCTGCTCCTTCGCTCGCTCCAGCTGCTGAACCAAGTCTTCCCTCTCGTGGGCTGCAAAGTGCCGCACACCAATTTCTTCGTCTCCTAGTCTTTGCTTGGCAATTGTCATCCTTAAGAGCTGCATTTCCCATTGGTAGGAAAGAGAGGGAGAGAGAATATTTGAATGAATAAATTCAGATAAAAACTCAAGGCCACTAGAAAGAAACTTTTGATAGAAAAGATTCTTTCAGGAAACACTAGGGATCCAGGAGTGGTGGTGCACCCCTGTAATCCCAGCACTCTGAGAGGCTGAGCCAGGAGGATCATGTGAGTTCGAGCACAGCCCACACAACTTAGCAATTTAGTGACATCCCATTGCAAAATAAAACATGGGCTGAGGGTGTAGCGCAGTGCAAAGGCCATGGGTTCAATCAATGGTACTGAAAAGAAAAAGAGAAAGAAAGGGGGAGAGAAAGGGATAATTACAATAATCTCAGATGTGGACTAGCCTAAGGGAAAGAAAAATTAGATTTTTTTTAAATGTAAAGAGTATTAACATTAGAAACAATGCCTGATGATAGAAGAAGGTTTAGTGAATTGTTACCAAATCAGGCAATGGGCAGAGGTGCAGCTGTCTGAAACCAGGGTCCCATGAATGGGGTGATACAGGGACATCCTTAGTATGCCATGTAAGTTGGAAAAAAAACACTAACTTTTCCATGCATTCTGATCAAATTTGTACTAAGAACTCATGCATAAAAGAATAAATGACCAAATACACAAAATATCAAAATAGTATGATATATGATATCTTGTAATTATAAAACATTATAACATTATGTTTAGGTGATGAGACCATATGTGCTGTTGTTTTCTAACTTGTTAAAATTGGTATGCATAAGCTTCATAGTATGCCTTTATTTTATACGTCTGCAAGTCCCTAGGCAGATAATTAGTGTTCAAATGCTATTTTCCAAGGGATCCCTGCAACACCTATAGATTTTCCGGACTCTGCAGCCCTACTTCCCAAAAAGGCCCAAATAGTGGGAGCCTGCTGAGGGTCCCAGGGAGAGCTGAGCGCCTCAGAGCCCAGGACCTGCCCCCCCCCCCCATGCCAAACTTGCTGCCACTGCAAAGTGATTTCCAAAGCCACAGCCCTGCTTCCCGGTGCGTGACCTTCGGCTTCCAGCCGAAATCCACATCTCCCTGCAGGGCACCCAAGGGTGGGTTGTTCACACATAAATGAGGTCCCAGGGACAGTGTTCCACCGCCCACATTTGTGACCCAGCCAGGACTGCCTGCTGGGGGCATGCGTTTCCTTTTTACTGCATGAATCTTGAGAGATTGGTTGTCCCTGCACACAACAGCTTAATTTTTAAAGCCCCTGAAGGATTTAGGGGCATAGGAAGTTAATTTAAGCCACGGTAGAATATTAACTAAATAGAAATAATAAATAACAGCAGTGAACTCGTAAAGAAATGATGACTAACGAAAAGTAAAAGCATTTTCCAAAGACATTAAGTTTGGAATCTTTCCTAAAAATGACTCAATTGACTCCAATAAATCTGTACTGGGTGCCGTGCGCTGGGCCGCAGCCCTGGATTCTGCGTGGTGTGTGGGGCAGCTGCCTGGTGCGGCCCCCTTCCGCACACAGAGTCGGCTGTGTGCAATGCAGTCTGATCGCTGCCCATGCCCACTGTCCCTGGCTTCTGTATTGTGAATGTGCCTACCCAGTAAAACTTATTTGTAACCCCCAAAACCATGGTCTCTGTTGGACACGCACAGTGCAGTCAAAGATCGGGTGCCCGACACGCGCCTTCCCAGCTGAGGTCAGTCGAGGCTACCTTCTGCCTTCTCAGTTCAGCCTTCACGCTGTAAGCTCGGGTCCTTTTCACGGTCTACTTAGCGCCACGTTTTCACATTTTTGTATCTTTGTGTGTGTGATCTTGCTGTTCCCCCCCCCCCCCGCTTTACATAACTGTCCATGTCCCTGGGGTACAGTGCACTATGGGAGTAGATGTAAACATGAGGACAATTACCGGGCACCCTCAAATATTCATTGTTTCTTTGTAGAGAGAATATTCAAAATCCCCTCTTCTAGCTATTTGGAAATAAACAGTGCTGTGGGTATTACTAACTAGAGTCACTCTATTGTGCCACCGAGGATGGGCAGCTGTTCCTCCTCTCTGACCGTAACTATGGGCTTGTTGATTGTCTCCCTCCATCTTCCTTCCCACCTCCTCCCTGGCCTCTGGTAAGGACCCTTGTACTCCCTACTTCCTGGATTCCAAGGGTGACTGAGACCATGTGGCACTTGTCTTTCTACACGTAGCTTATTTTGCTCAACATAATGTCTTCCACATTCACCCACGTGGTCACAAGTGACAGGACGCCACCCTTTCTGAAGGCTGAATTGTATTCCATTGTGTGTAGGAACCATATTTTCGTTATCCATTCATCCCTGAGGGACCCATAGGTTGACTCCATGTCTTGGCTGGTGTAACAAGCAGCACCATGAAGTCAAACTGAGCACAGGTATGTTTCATACACTGTCTTTGTTTCCTTTGGATGTACACCCAGCCGTGAGGCTGCAGAATCACATGGTGTTGGTGTTGGTGTTGGTGTTTGAGGACCCTCCATACCATTTTCCACAGTGATTACGCTAATTTGCATCTCCCCCACAGTTCATACGGGGTCCTTTGAGAGGGGCTGCAAGCGTGTGGCTGACAGCTGGCCCTGAGTGTGAGGCTGTGCCTCGCCTGTGGGGAATAAGCTTACTTCGGGCATGAGTTCCGGTGCTGTTGAACTCTGTCATTCCACGTTAATGAATGAACCATACGTTTTAAACAAGGCAACTTTAAATAGAAACACATAGGTTATGGTTGATCGGTTGCATGGTCAGGGGCTCACAGGAATCTCCTCAAGTGTCCCCCAGAAATGACAGCTCACTATCTGCAAATTCAGAGTCTGTAGCGACTGGAGAACTGGTCTGCGCACCTGCAAGCTGAAATGTGCAAGCGTCTTCCACCTCACACAGTTCTTGGCCCGGGAAGTGGAGACACAGCAGGACCAACCCCAGCTGAATGAGACCGGGTCCTCGGATTGGAAGGCCGAGAGGAGGAAACTCCACCTACTGTATAGGATGTCCTGGGGCCCCGGACTGAGTCTTTCAGGGGAGGGCATTTCCCTGAGCTGTGAAGCCTGAACTTTAAGTAATAAACACCACAGTGGCTTTGCATTCGCAATACGCTTCATTGAACATTTAATTCAGAATTGTACAGTTATGTTTGCTTAATGCCAATTAATTATTAAACATGTTTATTGAGGTCTGACAGCCATATAAGAGAGTCATCTTTTACATACTGGATGCCTGTTAAGCTTCAATAAATATGTTAACAATCATTTGGTGTTTAATGTGCATACAATATCGGCTGTTAAATCGCAGGCCTGCACTGGTTGAAACATTTTTAAAAGTGAGGCCCGAGTTGGTGCTAGCTGGATCATGAGCAGGGTGTGAGCCTCAAGTGCAGTCGGCTGCAGGGGCCGGAGGAGGTCACTGTCGTAGCTTACAACCCCGAAGGTCTAGAGAGAGCCCTGCTGGTCCTCAGCAGGCAGCTCACATGCTCTTGCATCAGCTGCCCAGGGCTCCTGTCCTAGCAAGCTGTGCAACCTTGAGAAATTGTCTAGAGACGTCTCTGAGCAACGGCATCCTTCCTAGTAAAAACACAGCATGAGAGGGGAACCTCATAGGAGGGCTGCAGGGTGCAGGCAGGGAGGAGGAGAAGGGGTGCAGACCATGGGAATTTAACAGAAGGAGGTTCAGATATCTGTGTGTTAGGACAGAAAGAGAAGGGAGACTAAAAAAAGGAAGAAAAGACAAGAAAAATAATTCCCAAATGCGGGTGTTGCTGCTCTTCCTATGCTCAGCGCCCCAGCCTGGAGTGAGGCAGGACAGGGACTGCATTTATTTATCAGATGTACAGAGATGGCACCGATTAACATGTTCAGCAAAATCAGACTGTTCGCATGCACACATCATTCTGTAGTTCAGGCAGCAACATCCAACCACATGCCCTGGACCCTGGGGACAATTTAAGGGACTGCAGGGGAACTGGAGCCGAATACAAGCCGATGCCTCTTGCAGGCTGACTTCAGCCCCCTCCCCGAGCAAAGAAGGTGGCTTCTCCAGGACACTTGCTTCCATACCGGAGCACATAAAGGACTTTGGTAAATGCAGGCTGGTCCTAGGAGTGGTGCTGTGACCTCAGTCGCCCCCACTGGCCAGCACAAGCTCTGTCCCAGGCCGAGCTCTGAGCCAATCTTATCTGTAGAGAGCAGGCTGGGATGTTTATTTCCCACCTTGGAAAAGGCTGTGAAGAGACTGCTCAGGGCACTTAATTCCCGGCCACAGGGCTGTCAGAATTCCACAGCCGGCTCCACGCCAAGCTGCAGAGTGGATCGGTGCCCTGCCTGGCCACCACACTGCCACCAAGAGCCACATCCATTTGCTGCTTTGGATGGAAATGAATGTCTGTGAATGAATTTCGGGTGGGTGGCATCTGCTATGCTGCTTAGCAGGCGGTCGAGCTGCAGCTGGGCTGTGGCCGGGGGACGCGGCGCAAAACAATGCAGGGAAATGGTTTTGGGGTGCCCTTCTCCAGCTGCCAAGGATAGGCCCAAACTAGGTCCTCCAAGCCTCCCTGGCCTCCAAGGGAGGAAGGCTTGCTTCTTGCTTGGATATCTTTCAGGCTGCACCTCTCATAGCCCCAAGTGTCACATACCTCATCCAGTTTTCATTCACCTAAATCCATTTTATTCAACAGACAGTGAGAGTCACGTATGGGAGCAGCTACGCTCTAGGTGTTACCTGACTTCAAGCCGACCAACACGGCAAAGCAACACATGACTTGATTTTCATTTTTATATATTAATGTAAGTTCATTTTATTTAATTTTTTATTTTAAAGAGAGTCATAAAAAAAAGAACAATAGCAACATACCAACATCACAGACATAAACAAAACGAAATTAAAAATGATACAGGGTTTCAAAACAAAATGATAGGAATTAACAGTGGTTGCTATATTACATATTGTTATCTTCAACAATCTTCTATTCTTATATCTGGTAATCTGAGCAA